CGAGAGTGCAGGACGCTTTTGTACTTCGCTAGGTCCTCTCTGTTCCGCTGAAGCAGCGTCAGCCTCTCCCGCGGAGCAGAGAGGATTCCCTGGACTTGTGTAAAAGGTATGATAAACTGATATCCGCGGGGGGAAGGACCTAACTACCCATGTTCGCCCTGCTGCTAGCGTTGGCGGGGCCTAAAAGCCGTTTTTATTTAAGGCCGCGAGCGTGCAAATTTTGTAAACTCCGCGCGCGCGGGTGTGTGTGTGTGCGTGCGCGCGTGCGCTTTGCCTTAGAATGGCACAGGGCTGCTACCCGTTTTTGTGTGTATCTTTCTGTTTTGAGTGTTTTTATTTATTTTCCTTTCCCGTATCCCTTTCCCTACTTGGCGGCGGGCTAGCAGGCCCACCTGCGTAAGGGTCTCGACCTTTTTGCCTAGCCTCGCACGCTGCCGAGTGGGTATCGCAATATGTGCAAATAAAAAGTATTATTATTATAATTATTATTATCGCCTTTGTCGCGAGGTCTGTGGCGGCGAAAACTACAGTCCTACAGTGGAGAAAATTCAAACGCTCCTTGCAACTAGTGAACACGGCGGTTCATTGGTTGTTGCCTTCTGGACGCAGCGCGAGACGCGACGCGTGGACGCAAAATATCTGGCTCCTCCAGATACGCCGGGGTGCGCCTAAAAGCGCTGTGTTTCGTCCCGGCGCCGGAAGTGACGTCAAAGCGCAGGCGCAGACGCGACGCAGACGCGGAGAAAAGCGCACCATGTGGGCTAGCCTTTACACCTAGTTCGTTCCGCGTATCGCTCGTTGCCTCGCAGTCGAACGGGCGTCAACTCTGTTCGGTTTCGCACAAGCGACGCTTTTGCGATTTGGTAAGCGACGGGCTAAGCTTAAGCCGCTGTTGGGTCAGATCTCTCGTTGTCGCATATCACGTCACCCGATTTTAGATTTGTAGCAAACTGAGCTAATTCATCGAAGGTCGCGCGCATGCGGTTGCCCCTAGGGGTGACTTACCGAACGAAAGCGGGTCCTTGTGACTCTGTGAAAAATTGCTTTCATGCAGTATATTCTTGCTACTTTTGAAGTTTCGTGAAATGGTTCTGAATAGCATTTAGATCGCAATGGTTTTCCATTCAGATTGCCTCAACATGCTGCGTCTTGTTCTTACAATGACTTCTAGGATCACTTCGAAGAGTCTCAATTCGAAAGGCACATGGCGATAGCAGGAAACTCCTCGAACAGAGAGCAGTCTCTGCGATTCTTGGCGCTGGACTTGTCATCGCAACCGAGTAAAAAAATGGTCAGAGAGCAAATTATGTAATGCAATGCTAATTATCTACGGAAGCTACTCACAGCACCTCAGAAGCTTTTGTGTACCCCCTGGACTAGTTTAAATAAAGCTCTTTCAATACGCTGGAAACCAAGATGGCGGCGACATGATTTCGGTTTCACTTCCGCTTCGCGGTTCTAAAACGAACCTTCGGAGTTTCGTTACTCTGGGAACCCATACAGTGACTCTAGATATAACCATATTGCCACATCTTTAGGTATAGAGGCGAGAAACCGAAATGAACACCTATATCGAGAAATCAAATCCAAAATAGAAGTTAGTTTCAGTTTTATCCCTGAATTAAAACGGTGCTTCACAATTTAACGTGCAACACGTCAGGAACGAGCTATATGGCCCCCAATTTCACCATATTACAACATCTGACGTCACCTCTACAATGTTGCCAGTAGCGCCTCCCAGTTTCTCAGACCAAAAAAAAAATTTCAATAGCTTCGAGAAAAAAATTAATGTGACTCGTAATTGGGGTGAGTGTTACGATGTGCCTATTGGTGTGTTAGCCCAAATTTGAAGCAAATCAGGGTCTGTAAAATTTTCACAGAACTTTACTTTTAAGCAAAACAGTAGGGACCTTAGCAATGCAAAACCTGCTACCTGCGGCCAGTGTTCCTTTTATACTGACTCAATCTCTGGGAACAATCAAGGCAAAAGAAACTCTCAAGGTAAAGCCCGATGGGCGCTTTAAGGGTATAATAAATGACATAAAATGAAATTAACATAGAATCCTAGTAGGCGAATTCGACTATGAAGCATCAAGCGGAGATTTTGGATTGATCAAACGTTGGCATCCGTTGGTAGCCAGATCGAAACAACCGGCTCGTGCTTTTATTCAAGAGCACGCACACCGAACGTGAATGCTGCGCGGGCACCGATACAGTGATCTGTGATAGGGTACAGGTGAAATAAGCAGGGAGATTGGGCGAGTGTGATTGGCACCCGGTCGATGCATCCTTGTAAAGGCAGGCATTGATTCAAGTATGCGCGCTTCGTGCGATGGACAAATTTGAAACACTAGAGTATGATGAACCTTGTTGACGAAAATGCTTTTGATAAAAATATCACTTTATTTTTCTCTAGTAAGGCGGTCAGTTGAGTAAGTTAAGAACGAAGATCAATAGCACGCACGCACGCACGCACGCACGCACGCACGGACACATGCACGTACGCACGCACACATACACACAAGCACGCACGCTCGCATGCACAATTACATTTCAGACAACCATTTGCGCAGCAGGAGGAACGGTTTTGAAGCTAAACTTTAGGAAGGGACAATACAGCACTATAACTTGTTCAGTGTGAGCGTCTTCAAAGGTAAGAATATTCACTTTGTAGCCTACCCGCCTCGTATGTTAGGTGAGCATATATACATGGTTAAAATCAGCGAGCGACGTGGGGAAACTGGGGAAGAATACAGGAGACAGGATAGACCCTGAACTCACAACTCAAGGGGGGATCGGTGGCCGAGTGGGCTAGTGAATTCCAGCTACGAACACGTAGAGCGAAGGCTAGTTCTGCAGAACCCAGGATCCTAGGTTCAATCCCCACCCCTTCCTGTTTCGATCTGGATGAGCATTGTACAGGCGTGCGGTCATGTGTCACTGCTGTGTGATGCACGTTAAAGACCCCAGGCTAGAGGTTGTAGTGCACTGGTTAAATTTCTCATCTACAGCTGGGAGATTTGTCGCCTGCTGAGGCAGACCAAGTTCTAGGCTGTATAAGCATACACACAACCCAATTTTTTTTCACAGCTCAATTTCATTTAGAAGAGAAGAAGAAAGAGGATGCCTCGTGACCAACAGGCACGTGCTCATGGCATGAGAACTCTAAGGCGCGGGGCGATGGCTTCAGCGGAGGCTATGCTTCAGCGCCTCGAAGCATTTAAAATCGAAACTTCCTTTTCGGATAGTGTCACAAAAGGATGCCTCAGGCAGTGCTGACCCCGACCTTGAATAATATACGCCTCGTAAATTTCTCTGAAGAGTTTTTTTCTCTTCTTATATCGCCCGAGAATAGCGGTGCTGGCCAGGTTTGAATTACATGTACAGGCTTGACAGTGTAGAGGCAAGCGACCTCCTTACCGTTGAACTCATAGACAGGTTATGTTCATGTAGCCTATCACAAATACATATCCCTGTCTTTTTACCATACGTAAGGGAGTGCTCGAGGTACTGGGCACAGTGTAACATGTTTCTTTTTACATTTCACTCGATATATTTTTTTTCCGAATTTAAGTATACCTGGGAACAAATACGGGCCATTTCCTGAGGTGCTGGAAAAAACAACTTGAACTTGATATCTTTGGGCTACTTGATTTAAGCTGTGCGATACCTTGTGCAAGCATGCAACCACTACCATCCGCTTCTTCTCAACGTTGCGCTTACCACCTTCTTCTCTTTTTATTTTGTTAACCAAGGATCGCACAACCTCATTTAGCGCCTGCCGCGGGAACCCGGATGACCGGAGTATCTCAATCTGAGCTTTGAAGCTGTCATAAATGTTATGTGAACATCCTAGACACGAAATAACTATATCCATTTTAACAATTTTTGAGTGCGCTGGCGAGTAATGCAATATACCCCTTTTTGAGCTTGGGGAGAAGGATTACCATAAATGGTTAGTGCGGAGTGAGAGCGATATGCGGGAAAATTGTAAGACTCCTTCCTTGGCGTCTTAATAGGTGAATCTAAGACCAAATCTACACTTACAAAAAATGTCCATAACATTGGTGACTAGGTCTTTTCGCAGGCGATAGTCAAGCAGAAGTAGAAATTTATCAAGATATCGGAACACTTTTTTTCACAGGAGGTCTAAGGGCGTGTTCAAGGGCACAATAAACCCTGGCAAGAAAAATATCGCTGAGGACAGGCGCCATTGACGACCCTACGCATACTCCAGAGCTTTGGAGAAAAACTTCGTTATGTTATCCTAGAACGTATTATTGAGATAAAATTGAAGTAGTTCAGGAAAGCACTCAGCGGAAACACCACTCGAGTTTTGGAAGGATAGTTTATCCTTGTCCTCAATACATAATTTGGCAGAGTCAGGTAAGATGTCACGGGGAAGTGAATAAGAAAGGTTCTGAACACCAACACTACCGAAACTATGGCTGCCATAATGATCTGCCTTCAAAGGTTCCACTTCTTTCTTCCTCTCTTCTTGATGGAATATTGAGTTGTGAGTTGAGCGCCTCTCCTGTCTCCTGTATTCTTCTTCGGTTTCCTCACGTCGCTCGCTGACATTAATCTTGTATAAGGCTTACAAACCACTCCAGTTCACCACATTTCTATAGGCGTGCATATATTACCCAGTAAAATACTACTACAGAACCACCACCAGAAAAGGAGCATGCATAGAAGGACAAGCACGTACTGCCATACGTGTACTCCTGACACCCGGTCCTACGTAATGGCAGTTTTAAACTGGGGTCACACTGCTCACACTTCATACAGAACGACAGTCTGCAAACACGAGTCACCGGAATATCCGTGGTTCGAATGCCGCGTGCCAAGTTTCTCCTTGAACTCATTGCCCTGCCATGCGGCATTCAAAGCAGGGATCTCGCAGAGTCTCGCGTTTTAATCTGTATGCAGACTCTCTTTTGTATGATGTATATATACATCACACAAAAGAGACCCGGTTTTAACGGACTGGCGCGCGTCTACATCTTTTCACGCAGCATAACCTCGAGTTCATCAACACAAGCGCAACTCTTCAGCAGCTTTTGAAGGAAGCAGGTAAATGTGGGAGCTCCGGGAAGCGCTAATCTAAGCCGAACAAACACCACGTAATAAGCACAGCCAGCAATTGAGCCACCGGCCAGGAAAGCAAACGGAAGGAAGTCCACAGGCTGCACAAGGCGCGCGCCAAGTGGGATCAAGAAAGCCAAAACGCGGATGGCTGCCAGCACGGTAGGTGCCCGGTAAGGCCTTGGGGCGTCCTTCATGGAGACCCGTAGCACAAAGAACGACACTAAGATCAGGCCGTTGTTCAACGAGTAAATGAGAGGAAGAGCCTCCACGATAAACGTGACGGATCCCAGAAATGTGTACAACATTGACAGGAGCGCACGAAGTAACAGCGACGTTAGGGGCACCCCGCTGTCTACGTTGACCGTAGAGAAGATGGCCGGGAAATGGCGCTGTCTCGCTGCCGCAAGGATAACTCTACTATTGGCGAAGAAGACGGCGCATGACGTGCCGAAGAGCCCAACGGCTATGAGGAGAGGCATCAGGGTTGCCGCCTTGCTACCCCACGTTGCGGCGACGAAGGTGACTGCGACGACCTCCGTACTCGCCATAGCCGCCGAGTCGAGGACCGTGAATAGAAAAAGGTTGTAGAGGAAGACGAAAAGAGTTGCAATCAGCAGTCCCCCAAACATCGCCAGCGGAATGTTGCGGGACGGATTGGCTATTTCACCAGCGAAATTGCTCACAAACTTCCTGTAAAAAAAAAAAAAAAAAAAAGTATTTTTTTTTGTGTGTGGTTACGTGGTACTCTATGCGTGTTCGTGTTTTCAAATCAAGTCCGCGGGCCGGTCGGAAGGATTCCGCGGGCAAGCTCTGTCCCACACGCGGGGTTTAGAGGCACGTGCTATAAAGAAAGCTACCACCCAAAGAAACCAGCGAAACAAATCTTGTGCAGGTCTATATCTGAAGAGCTTTCGTGACCTAGTTATTGTCTTGTGTCTTGCACGGAAAATGTCTACAATTTTGTTTCAGCGGACGATGACTTACCTACTATTTGCAAATGCATTGAAATTAGTTCTAATACCCTAGTTACACTAGCGCACCGAACTGTCATTAAGCCAACAATAGTTGACTCAATCGCGATCGGCCGGAGTTACACGGCGGCGCTAAGTATCATTGAGCCGCTAACGATCACCGAGTTCAACTGAGCTGGTCTACCTCAGTTAACTGATGGGGGTTCGGCCAAGCTAAATATGGCAACGTTCGCCGCATCACCGCCCATGGCTAGCGCCAACGAAGCACTTACTATTGCGGAATACTGGGGTAGGTATCTAGAGAGTATCGTCGCAGCAAATACTGTCGGAAGAGGTGTAATTCGGGGCCAGAGCTGCCGCAAGATCGAACACGGCACGTCGCGGAAGCCAAAGCTAGGCGAGGGCGGCCATTCTGATGCCGGTGCCGATAAGTGGCTGCACTCGGGAATTTTCTTTTCGTTAAGTAGGTAGGTCTATTACCCCTAAAGTTTTGCCAATTGAGGCTTGCGAACAATAAGAAAACAAAAACTATGCTACCATCCTCCTGTAGGTATGTGGGTTGCAAAGTATGCAACAGCAAGTTTTCCGGCGGTCGTCTCGGCGTTAAACAAGGGATCGTCGTAAAGATGATTTACTGAAATACAAAAAAAAAGTATTGTAAGAATGCGTCTGATGAAGTACCTACTATCGTGTTATCAATAGCTCTCACCTTCAGATACAGTGATGAATCCAGTGATAATAAATGAGATGAGAATGGTGGAAGTGATTATTGATAGAAATCCCTGGACTCTCGAAGATATCTTTATGGAGAAGCAGTTGACTGCCGTGGCCAAACCTGAAGACAGTGGCATAAAGTACCTTGCATTGAACGATTGTTTTAATGTTTTATACTGGATATCAAGTTCAGTTCTTTTTTTTTTTTTTACTCAACTGCTTTTTTGTACAAAGTGCAGGTTTTGAACGGACATTTACGGTCGCCGATAGCTTAAAAAGCCCATGGCGTAACATGGTCACGGTACCTTGATATCGCTCTGAAGCAAATGAGGCTGCGTCATTAGCCGATCAAAAACACATACACACTAAAACACGCATTTCCAATAAAAAAAGGGTGTGATATCATTTCAAAGTGTACAACCAGACATTGACGCTACGGTGCGGTCTCTATAGCAGAAGCATTCAGCAGAGACATCGTATGTAGCAGCCGACCTTAGCTTCTAGTCAATGCCAGCTTACCTGAGGACATCGCTATACAAAACGGTCGATGACGCGGTTAGCCTTTTTTACCAGGAAAACGGAAACACATATGCGCTGCCGAAAACAGCCGCGATCACATCAATCTTAACACGTCTACTTGATCCGCCGACACGAGAAAAGCAACCCGAGTAGCGAGTAGTAACAAGAGTACCGAAAAAAAAAACCTCCCATGTATAGATTTCATGAATTACCGACACCGGTGAATGTGGTCCCGTTGTGATTCCTAGACCCCCGAAGAGACAAGTGCTTTGTGAGGCATATGCCATGCAGCACTGATAAACGAAACACATGGCGGTCTGTGGCCGTCGTTGCCGCCTACAACTGTAAAGGGGGGGGAGGCGGTGTTACGATTTTAAATCCGAGCTCCCGCTAAACCTGTGGTCAACTGACGTCAGATCAAGCACAGAGCTGCACTGGACGCGGGTAAGTTTTCGAATGTCAAGGCGCGTAACGTTCACTCCGGATTGTGATCGAGAAACACTGCCGTGGGTGCAAAACCTTTACTCCGGGTTGCGATTGAGATACACTGCCGCGGGTGCGAAACCTTTACTCCGGGGTGTGATCGAGAAACACTGCCGCGCATGCAAAACCTTTACTCCGGGTTGTGATCGAGAAACACTGCCGCGGGTGCAAAACCTTTACTCCGGGTTGTGATCGAGAAACACTGCCGCGGGTGCAAAACCTTTACTCCGGGTTGTGATCGAGAAACACTGCCGCGCATGCAAAACCTTTACTCCGGGTTGTGATCGAGAAACACTGCCGCGCATGCAAAACCTTTACTCCGGGTTGTGATCGAGAAACACTGCGGCGCATGCAAAACCTTTACTCCGGGTTGTGATCGAGAAACACTGCCGCGGGTGCAAAACCTTTACTCCGGGTTGTGATCGAGAAACACTGCCGCGCATACAAAACCTTTACTCCGGGTTGTGATCGAGAAACACTGCCGCGGGTGCAAAACCTTTACTCCGGGTTGTGATCGAGAAACACTGCCGCGCATGCAAAACCTTTACTCCGGGTTGTGATCGAGAAACACTGCCGCGGGTGCAAAACCTTTACTCAGGGTTGTGATCGAGAAACACTGCCGCGGGTGCAAAATCTTTACTCCGGGTTGTGATCGAGAAACACTGCCGCGCATGCAAAACCTTTACTCCGGGTTGTGATCGAGAAACACTGCCGCGGGTGCAAAACCTTTACTCCGGGTTGTGATCAAGAAACGCTGCCGCGGATGGAAAACCTTTACTCCAAACTCTGATCGCAAAAAAGAAAAAAAAAAAAAAAAGCTGCCGCAGGGTGGTGCAGACGCGACCAACAGGGCAGGGGAGAGCGGGCAGCGCTTCCCTACGCGATTTAACGCAAACTCTGACGTTCGGTGTCGCTGACAACCAGATGTCAAGGCGGATCGGAGCGTTCCAAGAAAGCCATGCCGTATTTCTCTTAAGCTATCGGTGACTGCAGTCTCACTGATCGAGTGCGCGAAGCTTATGGAAGGAGTCTTTTAAAGTTGAACTTACATGTAAACGCCAGAGCCAGGAGCAGTTTTGCCGCGTAAGGTGGGAGGCAGCCAGGGTATGGTATGCACAGGATGTAGCTTGCAAAAATTTGTGCCTGGAGCGCCATGATCAGGGGATCGCCAAGTATGAGGAAGTTCCAGGCGTACATGAATGGGATGACGTCGCCAAACCTCCCGAAGGACTTGCTGCCGGCAACCACGTAGGCATAGCCACCACCAGACGCCGGTAGCAACGTTGCCAACTCCATGTGGCACAGTCCAGCTGCAAATATTAATGTGGAAACATTTAAATATTTTTGTTTTTGTTTTTTGAGTTACATCTTTTTTACATATGAGATGCGGGTACGTGTCTTCGCTGGGCTCTAAAGCCACAGCCAGACTGCTAATGCATCAAGTCAGTTCGCAAGCAGATTCGAACGTAGGTCAACACGAAATCCGTGCTTCGAATATCGCATGTCAACGAGTTGTTCAAAGAGAAACTTGGCACGCGGCATTCGAACTACGGATATCGCGGTGACTGATGTTTACACAATGTCTTGTGGGACGTCGGCTTAATGCTGGCTCCCATGGTTATGCCTGTTATATATATAGACCCCTCTCGGAATTAAAAAATGATGCATAGATTATGTTCGGCGGCTTCGTTAGCATTTCGGAGTGTATTCGGATTGAAACGCGTTCCACATGAGTGCTGCGTCAGTGCTTCGCAGGAACTCGAAACCAGTCACGGGTTTCACACTTTTCTGCATTATCAAAATCGAAACATCACGTGCACATCATTTTCATCCAGGAAGGATTACTACACTTAACTTTTATGCGCTTATTAAAACCATGTACCAATGATTAAAATGATTCTCGCTACCACCGCTAGGGAACTCTTTTCGGCTTCCGGTTGACCAAGAAAGCTTAAAAAGCCCTTTCTCTGCGTCTGACGCACGCCCTGTATCTGTTAATTGCCGCAGTCACTGTTACCCCTCGGAAAGTACATGATAGTGGTTTGTCAGCAGTAATTCCTGCAATGAACACGTATGCAAAAAGACAGGCGGTGGAGTTTGCGGTGAAATGTCATATGTGCTGTATTGAGGCAACGGAACTGACAGGCTGACCGACATGGTTCAGTTGCTGTGCGGTTACAGGCTCTGTTGCTTCGAAGGAGGACGTCATCAAATACGTTCTCGTCTTCTATGTATTCGGCGATTTGGTTGTCATCTGGTTGGTCATTGCCAGTCCAGTCATTGAAGCGCTGGTCGCCCTTAGTCTGATTATTAATTGCTGTTTTTATCATCACATCAGTTCTCACGATTAAAAAAAAACACCAAGGAACATGGTTGGGGGAATTAAAATGAATACTGATTAATTATATTCCATTGCAATTTTCTTTTTGGAAAGAAACTAATCAATTTGGAATTATACTCTACACCAGGGGTGGCCAGGAAGACACATTCAAAGAGCCATAAATAGGAACTGTTTTAAATGAAGAGCCGGAAAAAAAAACTTGGTACTTTAAAAGTTTTTTTAAACATTTCCTTTTTAGTTGGTGGCAACAGCGACTTCCACTCATAAGGCAATTGCTGAGCATGTTTCTTTAATGTGCGTCCCCGCTTGTAACAGAAGTACCTTGTCCATTTGTATTTTGGCACAAAGTTGGCAAAACACAAGCATCCTTTTGATCTTGAGAAGGAGAAGGAGGGTTAGGTTTACCAAGGAGTAAGGTGGTAAAGTGGGCCAGTTGGTAAACGTTGAGTATAATAAAAGATTGCACACAAAGAGGCGATGAACGTGTTTTGATCTTGTCTTTTTGTGCGCGATATTTCCTTATATGTGCCATTCGCTGAAGCAACTAGTTGAAAGAATTGGGACAATGAGAAAGCTACGCTAGCCTTGACAATGTGGCCCAAAATAGTTGACGCTAAGTACAGAAGGGTGTGCGTGATCGCGAAGCTAAAATTACTTTCAAATTTGAACGTGGATTTTAGATTTCCTCCAAGTCGTGGTCACGTTGGTAGAGGTCACTACCTTTTGCCGATGTCTTGAGGTTTTGATGGCCTGTGAAGCATTTATCGCGGAGAAGCGGCCCAGGTAAGGTTTAAGCTATTGGTCTCCACAGCGCATCGTCGTGAATCTCAGTCCACCTTCAACCACTGTCAGGAGCATACAGTTTCGCAGTTCTCTTCAAGTCCCCTATCAGTTCGATCGATGGAACCAAGTTTGATGGTGCTAGGGAGGTTTGGAGTCGGCAAATGTTTGCAGATATACATGGCTTGCTCTGACGTCGTATCGACCGGAATTGCTCCGTACCAAACTCCAGTGGCCGTACCTGCTGCAGCATATATTTCGCACCTCGGCACGCCTTGCTGAGAAGACAAATTCAATGATGCAAAATGCATGCTGCCGAAGATACGGGCACAGGAGCATGGTAAGGAGCAATGGTGGCTGGTACGGTGCCATATGACATCATGTGCAAAACATACAGGTATGTGGTAGCCAAGTCCAGCGTGGTTGTTAGTCGGTTTTGGTCGAGCATGCTAATGGACGGGGAGGGCACGTATGCAATCAGTTCGGTTGTAGTCACTTGACAGGCAGGTCGGCCCACAAGCTTCAATACAATCATGCGAAGGAATTGCAAGAACCCAACCTCTCTTGGATAATTAACGACAGGTTCAATGATATTTTGTCGCCAAAGTTGTACAGCCCCTTACCGGTACCTTGTCTTTCTTGATTTTCAACATGTGCTACATGTAATATCACCACACCATCCTCTGTTCTTATATGTGTAAATAATTATAATTGAACTAGCTTTATTTTTATCCTTTGCAAATGGCCACATGAGCTTAGAGCTATTTTTGCATAGTCTACGTAGTTGTATTAACGTCTACAGTTTTCCATGATGCTGCCTTAAGCCCCTTGTATCTTGCCATCTGCGTCTCCACTACGATTGTGTTTTGAGAGTGCCTGATGCCATTGGGAATAGTTCGTAATTTGTATAGTTACATGAAAAGTATGGCTACGTATTCTTCGTACGACTCTTGCCATTATAAACGACGCTACCGAACTAGAATGCTTGAGCGTTGGTTTTTTTTTCCTATGTCAAATTGTTCGTGTCTCCGATATGCCTTTCGCGATAAAACTTTAGGTCGTTGATCTCCGTGTCCACTAACGTGGCACTTCCTACGCAGCATCTTTGTTCCTTTTAGTTATAAGAAAGATCACGCAGAGTGACAATAAACCTTTACTATGTGGTTAAAGTAAATCTTTGTGCTTGCAAATTACGGCGAAGGCGCAGTAAGAGGGAACAGAAAAGCCAAAATTCCATCGGAGCTGCCATTTTGTAAACGAAAACAACAATACATAAACAAAAAGAGTGATTGCTTCCAACGTCCTACATAAGAGGGCGATTTAACGTGATAAAATATCTCATCTAGAAAACCATGCTTTCCTTTTCGTATTCGAAAAGGGTTTAGAATTTGTATCCTTCAAATAATTTTGCACACTCTCAATTGATTTAAATAAAATATATTTAGAAAACAGCCCCACCACCTCGTGTTTTGATTACCTCAGGCTTATTCTAGAGTGGGCAAACTGTGTATTATAAACTCATTTTCAGAACGCACTATGGCACGGTGAAGACGGGTATTACTTTACAAAAGCGGCCGAGAAAACATGTTGCTTTCAAGCTGAGGCAAGGCGTTCTTTTTGAACCGCTGTGACGAGCAACGAGCTTAGAGTCTTTGAGTGTTCGAGTGAGTAACGAGTAACGAAGGGTACTTAGTGTTACTCAGTAACTCAGTAACGCGTATAGGTCTGGCTAGGCACGCACTCACCGAGGACATTAGTGACCCCTGTCACTAGCCATATCACGAGGGCTGTTCCGACAGAACCCGCGTTTCGGAAGACGATGCTGGGCACCACGAATATGGTGGTACCTGAAATGTGCAAAAAGAAGAAAGGCCCGGATGAATAAAACTTGTATAATTTGATTGATATTAATTGTTTCTTTTCTTTAAAGCAATGTATGCTTGTCATTTATTATACGTTATTTTATGGCGCGCTGCTGGTATCGTTTTGCTGATGTTCGGACGTCCTTTTCTCGGTCGTTGACGTGACGACTCTGATATTCGGGTAAAATAACTCGGTCAATTGATCTCACGTTCTAAAGTGCCGTTCACTTGTTACCCTCTCTCCTCCTCTGGTGGGTGTTGCTCAGATCACCGTCGTGCAGCACGCCCGGTTGAAGCTCTCTCGTCACCACATTCTGACATTCCCAGCCGATCACCGCCAGCTCTCCCGCAAAACTCACACACCTCATATTTTTCAATGCTCGCGAACGCGCCTCATTTTCCTATTTGACAGCTATGTAAAGTCCCATGACCACTGCTTTATGACATCGCCCTTTTCGTGCTGATCAGACGTAGCTCATTAAAATGCAATGAAGCTTGCAGGCAGTGGCGTCGGAACAGGGGCGGGGATGGGGGGGGGAAAGGGGGGTGGAGGGCAGTCGATATTTACTTATTTCAAAAAGTTCAATGTCAGCAAGAATACTTAATGACAAGTACATAGCGTTCTTAACCAGAACTAACACTAAATTTACGAGTTCAAAAACGATAATTGAACGGCACTCTCGAGTCGACAATTACCAATATTATTTCTTTTCACGAAGTGCATCCGATTGTAACTCACTACCTGTGCACATTGTTAATTATGATAATGTTTTTTTCTTATTTCTAAACCAACCCTTATCATTTGTGTAACTTGATAAATATTTGCACTATCACTGTTGCTGCTTTGCTCGAAGTGATATTTTTGTTTTTCCTTTTGTACATACAACGTCCTTTTGAAATGTAATAATCCGAACGTGCTGTTGACGAATGTTTGTATTTGAAACCATGGTAAAGTGTGACCACACTCTCAGTAAAGCTCTTTTTTTGAAGTGCTCTTGTATGCGACTCCTATTATATTCCTCGTAAGAAATAATGGTCTTGGTAAATAATAAATAAAATAATATTACCAAGGGTGGGCGAAAAATCGCTGTCGCCCCCAAGCCCCACCACTTTCACACCCCATCTCACGAATAGTTTTGACGCTTCTGCTTGCAGAAAACTTGAAAAGTATATTCCTGGAATCTTTACGAGGTTTGTCAATCTGGTTAATTTAAGCCACAGCACACAGTGGATTATTATTTCAGGAAGTGTTAAAGGTACAAATATACAAACATGCAGATATTCTCACACAAATATACAAGCAATGTTGAATTCATTATAATGCAAATAAATGAAAGGATGCAAGCGAGCTCGACAAGAATGACGAAAATAATCTCTGGAGAAGGGGAACAAGGGGGACAAAGGACAAGCACAAATCTCCAAACACAGCTAGGCGAAGCGTGTTTGTTGTGCTTGGAGATTTGTGTGTGTCCTTTGTCCCCCTGTTCCCCTTCTCCAGGGATTATTTTCGGAAGTATTTTACTGTTCTGTTCTTTAAACCAACTATAAAGAAAGCAAATCATAACAAATGAAAGGAATCATTAGCCACTTTTGTTTAACAACGACAACGACAACAGCAACGGCAACGACAACGACAAATAGACCAGGAACAACAACAATTCATTTGAAAGCATTGAAAGAATATTACTTGGCAGCCCATTCCGTTGTTCAACTGTGCTTGAAAAAAACAGCATTTGAAAGCACCAGTACTAGAGTTGAATGTAGCATTTCTGGAAATCGCCGGTTCAAGAGATTCTAGTACGAAAATACGTGAACACGTGCTCAAGCCAGCGCGGGCACTCCCTCGACCAAGGAAGCGCTATACCAAAACAAGGACGCATCTTCCCTCTCCTTCCTAATGCGTGCATTGTTTTAATTTGTGCAGTTCACGAACCCCGTTTTCTGCCAAGAGGCGTCAGTTATTTTTAAGAGTGTTGATTCTCGCATTTTACCAGCTTGATCTGACCTTTGTGAAACAAAATAGGGGGACACAGCTATTTAATCGATACATGTGTTGCATGGTTATATTTGTACCAAGCAAGTACGAGGTGTGGTCAATAAGTTTTGCTTCCTAGGTTGTAACGTTTTTTGTTTTTGTTTTTTTGTGATGGAATTAAACGATGTTACATTCAAAAGAAAGTATGGAATTTCCTGTTTACCCAGGAGTGCATAACTTTTCAATAAAGTTTCAGAGACTAGTGTACCGGCGCTTCCTTTTACCGGTACACTATAGTCTCTGCATGCCATCGTAGAAGAATGAGTGTGGCTGTTGACGAAACCAACCCCGTGCTGGACAAGCTGCTGTTCCAAGATATTTTGCCTCCCCCCCGGACCTCGCGCCATCAGAGTTCTTGCTGTATTTCGAGACGAAGAAACATCTGAAGAAACACTGTTTTCGTCCCACGACAAGGTTACGGATGCAGTGCGCCGTTAGTGTTGTCAACAGCCGCCTTCGTTCTTCTACGAAGGTACACAGAGACTAGTGCTCCGATAGCGGAATTGCATCGCTGCTGGTGGACGCTATATTGAAGAGTTATGTGCTCCCGGAAAAGAAGAGATAGCAAAATTTCATTTGAATCTCAGCATTTTTTCAGTTCTAACACTGAATAAAATGTTACAACTTAAGATGCAAAATTTTATGACCAGCCCTGGTATGTTGGGATCCCTATCCTACTTTCTGAAATAACTTTAACGCAGATCTTTCTGACGCACTTACCAATAGAACACCCAATCACAATCGCAGTTGTTCTAAGGAGTCCCACTTCCCTTTTGAGGCTCGTGCCCTGATTGGTCGAGCCGGGGTTCGTTTTGACGTCATTGAACGTTTCGCCGTCTGCCACCAGGTTTTGAGCTTCAGTGCTCGTGCTGCCACTTTTAGTATCTCGCTTGTTGCGCCGAAATGTGTCTCGAAGTGCCATGTCACCTTCTGCGAACAAAAGTAAACGATAACGCCTTACATGGGATGCTATTTCAATGCGATAGCATTCTTTAGATACTTCACCCGGTTTTCGCGATGCGCTAACTGGCCTCGAATGCGCCGTTCGTACGCGCGGCGCCCACTCATGTGTAGGACGTACGCATACGCCTACGCAGGCACCGCGCGTATGCAGATGTCTTCCTCGAGGACGTCCTAAAAGTCATACTCTAGGACGTCGTCTTCGACGTTGTCTTAGACGTCGTTCTTGAGGTTGTCCTTGAGACCACCCTAGAGGCCGTACTGGAGGTCGTCCCAGACGTCGTTTTCGACGTCGTCCTTAAGGTCGTCCTAGAGGTCGTTTTAGACGTCGTACTTTACGCCGTCCTCTGAGACGTCGTTTTCGACGTCGTCCTAGAGGACGGCGTCGGTACATGATCAATGATGGTGGTGAAAGAGCTTGAATATTAAACGATTATATAGAGACAGACGATTAAATGATACCGCAGAGGCGAAGCAATGACTCAATTTCCAAGTGGCGCGCTGCAGTCGCGCTGACGTATTCACAGTGAGCTGCGTCGCGAGGCTTATGACGAATGCTATCGCAATTCATAGACAACCAGGAATGGTGGTTTCTGCAGTCAAGTTTATTCCTTGCTATCCAGCTGATATTGGTGATTCGGAAAAGAATTCAGGCAGAATAAGGACCCACTTGTATCTTCTAATACCGGGCGCTTACAAAGAAAGGAGAACTGTGCTTTTCGGTGCACGTAAAGGAACTACTCATCCCAGAAAGTTAAACTTTCGTGAGAATGTGACGCTAGCGATGGTGATAGAACGCGAAAGTTTAAAAACATATACCCATATTTTCCGGACTATCGTTCCCGCACTATACATGTTTAAAAGTTGCAAATTTACCCGATGCGGACCATATACAAGTGCGGACTATACTAAAATGTGTTTTTTTTTAGATCGTTTACTGCGACAATAAGTCAAGGATATTATAATTAACGATAATAATCTTGATTTATGCAAGATAAAGCTTTTTTTGAGCAAAAATACAGCTGACATTTGTCAAGATGTACTGTGTATAATCATTTTTACGTTTGGAGTGGGCCCTACCCTACGGAAGAAAATTATAGTAATCCATATAAAAACTATTGTGAAATATCCAAAAACTGATATGCGACATATGTAACTGACATGAACTATCCAAAAACCGATATGCGATATATGAAACTGATTTGAAATACCCAAAACCGATATGCAACCTATAAGAACGGATATGCCGACGGATATGAAAATGCGTCCAATAAACATATCAGAAGTAAATTCATACAATTTTAGTCAGTATACGACTTGCCGCTCAGGCAAGCAAACACGTGGCTTGGAACCGCAGTGAAGCGGCTTAATTTATTGGCCTTCAAATAGTTACGGCATGAGCGTTTACTTTTTAGTAAGAGATTTATCCCCGAGTCGTTCAAAATACTCTTAGAAGTATGACATTATTGAAAATAAATCAACATGTTGAGAATACTACTTATTGCTTTGCTGGTCACCGAGAAAATCTGTACCTTCAAAACGACCAGGATAAGAGACGGAAACGCGGAGCTCAGTAGTTATCGGGTGTGCTATTGTATTCATGTTTGTCGTACTGTGTATCTGTATTGCTAAATGTATTTTTAAAGCTGATGCAAGTGGTGTGCGTAAAGTATCTACCTGGTGGCGTTAGCAAATAAAATTATTTATGCAGCACAGGAATTGGGTGGTACCTAGCGCCAGCTAGCCTAGCTGAAACTGATATGCGACATATGAAACTGATATGACATAATAAGTTATGATATGAAAAAAGGTGTCCAATAAACATATCGAAAATGAATTCATATAAATGTTTTAGTAGGGTTAGGCTTAGGTCAACGTCGGCTCATAAAGATATCATGTTTTTTTTAAATCTTTTTGACTCAGGTAACGTCATGTTCTCAAGTATTTGCGTTCTACTACCACGGCTAGCATTGCATTGTGACAGAGTTTC